TGTCCCGGTGGGGAGGGTGGGGGGGAGGCCCGGTGATGGGCAAGGGCAGGGGCTGCCGCCCGCGCTCGGTTCCCAAGTGCAGTCGCTGAAACGGGTCGTTGATGAAGGACTAAACTTACTCGAGGAAAAGAAAACACGCTCCAGCAAACACTGAAGTGTGACTATCCGAGCTGTTAAAGGAAATAACATTTTAATTGGGTGAATCTGTTATGCACAAATGTTACAGGCGATAAAACTCCTGCTAAACGGGAACCCAGTAATGAGATGAACCTGTCGAGGGAACAAATTGCCTGCAAATCAGAAACAGGCTTCCGAGGCGCTCCAGCAGCTTTGGGGCTTCCATTATTCTGCTTGGCTGAAGCTCGTGCCGCCCCACAGCGCTGGAGCCTTCTGGCAGTGTTTCCTCACGACAGCCACCCATGCAGAGTCATGGTCTGCAGGAGGAGTGTGGGTAAGCGTTAGCGAGCTGTAGAGACAGCTAGAAGTTTGCCTTTCAGAGCTTTATGTGTTTTTTGGCTGGGTTAGACGCATGCAAGAACTAACTGTGGGCTGGGTGCCAGGTTGGCAGCAGTGGTTCTGGTAGGACAAAAGTGGAAAGGGGTGTTGGGAGAGCATCCCGGTTCTGGCTGGTGTGCTGGGACTCCAGTGAGGAGAGTGCCTGGCCAGTCCTGGTGTGATCCTGTGGGGTGCTATATTGCCTTGGGTATGTTTTGGCCTCTTGCCACCTGAGTTTGCCAAAGAGATTTGGCAAACTTCTCCCTGGTGCTTGTACACCAGCCCTGCTGTGGGGGTGATGCCCGCTCCTCTCTTTCTGGGGGTACCAGCATCCTGTCCAAAGCAGCTATTTCAAGTCCTAGTCCCAGCTGTATTTCATGCTTCACCATGTGTGGCTCCTAGAAGCAGCACAGAGCCAGTGTTGGAAGAGCAGCAAGGAACGTCCCCCTGCTCAGATGAGCAGGTTTTTTTGTAAAACAGAGAACCTCATCTTTGTCCTCTGCCTCATCTGGGTGTAGGGCACAAGTGCTGCTGGAGCCTGAACTCTGCACACATGGGACTTGCTCTAGCAATACTTCATCTCTGTGTTTAAATGCTGTATCCAGAGGGGTGGAGAGAGGCATCCGACTCTTACCTCTCCGCTTTCTGGATCTGTTTGGTCAGAACACAAATGCAGCTACGCCTTCCTAAGGAAGCTGCTGGACCTCCCAATTGCAGGGAGATACCAGAAACCATGGTGCAAATGTACTTTAGTGGCTCGGGGGGTATAAGGCAGGCAAATGCCTCTCCTGCTTCCCCCATTTATTTTTCAAATCTCTTTAAGACCAGTGTGATAATTTTGGAGGCCTGATTCATGCTTGGGGGTGACACTCCTGTGTGTTCATTCATCAGCTCACATCTGCTTTGGCCTCTTCAGGGACTCGGTGAGCTCGGTTCCCTGCTTTGCCTCTCACTTACTGTCATCTGCTGGAGATGAGGACACTTTTTAATCTGATTTCGTGGCTGCCAGTTGTGAATGCAGTGAGCCTCGTGCTGAGCCAGCTAGCTCAGGAAGCTAGCGGTGCTGTGTTCATAGTCTTTTTCTGAGTCATTTCTTTCACTGGCTTGTGCAAAGGATGCTGCTGTTTGTGACCTCCTGGTTGGCAGACCCTTGCACCTGAGCACACTAGAGCCACCAAGAACCAGCTGCAGGGAAGGAGGCATTGGGGCTAAATACCACTGCTTTTTGATGGGCAGTTTTAAATTGCTCTGTTCAGCCCATCATCCCACAAGTAGCTGCTGTCATTTTCTTTCAAATAGCTACCTTCAGGCTACTTGTAGACATCAGGCTACAGAGGGTGGATGCTCCAGGGAGGTGGGAAGAGCTTTCTCTTTCTGTATCTGGTGACAAGGACGCTGGACAGAAATCTGCAGACCAGAGAATTTGCTGTCACTATTCTCCATCTGTGAATTAAATACCTCTAGAAACTGTCTATGACATTTAGTTTATGAACTGGCAGATGAAGTACCTGAAGGCAGGGCAGAACCATCTAAATAAAAATTATCTGGAAGCAATGAGCAGGGGGTGCATGGTGTATGGGTCGGGATCTTCAGGTCTAACAGCCACATCTAACTGGGTAAAATGGTGGTGTGGCTCAGTCTGGGTCTCCATGCTGCCCATGTGATACGCGTTCCAGCAGTATCGCAAGGATCAGCTTTTACTGGACTCCCATCCCTGACCCCACCTGACGCAACTCCCTGTAGTGCAGGAGGCCCAGAAAGATGAGTTCCCAAAAATTACTGCTCCAGGACGCTTCTCGCTACTGCATCGCCGGAGATGACGCTTGTTCTAAACGACTCTCACGCTGACTTCCCTGATGCCTCTGTCCATACATGTTTGTTCTCTGAGCAGCCCCATCAGCTTCCAGCCTTTTTGCTTCCAGGGTGGCCGAGGCGCCGGAGCCGTGTCTCCCACCACTAGATAGAGCTAGGCCACCGCAGGGAGCCTTGGAGCCGGCGGCTGAACTGGCTGACGTGTGTATGAACGCTTAAAAGCATTAATAAGCGAGTGCTGCGCTGGGGCCTTGCCGACACGGGCTTGGCGTGGCGCAGGTGGTGGCTTGCGTGCGGAGCTGCCCGCCGCAGGCGAGCGGCTGCCGGGGAGAGCAGGACGTGGTGCTGCTCTCCCGCCTGCGCCTGGTCCTTGCAAAGCCCACACTGGGATGATTTTTCCCAGTGTCTGAGTGCCACAGAGTGGTTATGTATCTTTATTGCTCTGAGCAGGTGTCTCAGTCGCTGCTAATGGACTGTAATACACACAGAGCTGACCCCAAAATGATGTCTTCACAGAAATTGCCTGTCTGGGGAGCTTCTGCTGTAAAAGCCCAGAAGCACCAGGCTGGGTGAATTACTGTCATCTGCAAAGCGTGTGCATGAGGGGTCTCTGGGTGCTTCCCCTTCTCTGACCCTTTGCTCTTACTGCATCTTTCCAAATTGGGTATCCCGCAGGATAGAGGGGCCAAGGGAACTAAGAGGGATCGCTTCCCTTTTGTCTGTCTGCGCAGCACCCTCTCCCCTCCATGGCTGTCCCTGCAGTGCAGATAGGCACTGAGCAGAGGGTATGATTTGGTGGAGGGGACAGAGCGGGGCATGGGGGTGCCTCCTTGGGCCCTGGCAGGCAGTGGGTGCGGGCAGTCTGCTCCCCACAGCCCCCGGTTCACACCGACACTGAGCAGAGCCAGAACCAGCTGCCCTGATGCCTGGCTTCCCCCATACCTGTACTGCGAATGTAAAGGCTGTTTGGGGGCTCCCTGTAACGTCTCGCCGTAGCGAGCAATTTCCCTACTGATTCTGCTCCCTCTGTATTTGCATGGTGAGCTTCCCCCTCGTCTCATTCCTCAGCTCATCAGCTATTCATTGATCTTTGCCAGGCTCCTCCAGCACTCATTCATCACTCTCACGCCCGCCATCCACTTTCAAAATGTTTCCTATTTTTCCGGTGATGTATTTCCCTGTTCAGACAAGCTAATCTTGCGCCATCAATAATCGGGGTGCAGCTGTGCTCCTGACCTCTGTGCTGGCACAGGCACACGGCTCTGCCCTCCGTGGATGGAGCCAGCCGAGCTGCGGGGGCCTTCTGGGAGCCGCTTCCCTGGCTGCTGGGTCTCTGTTGCAGCAGGTCATCCCTCCCCTTGGGGACTTAGAAGCGTGCAGATGGAGGTGATGCCCTCATGGCCAGGAAGGGCTGTTTTCCCATAGCTGGGCGGGGGGGGATGGTCTTCAAGAAGGTGAGGCAAGGGCCTGAGGCAGAGCAGCCTTGCTTTAAAGGGTCTGGCTTTGCGGTCTGCTCTGGGGTGCCCAAAGCCTCATCTTTCTGCCACAACTTGGTGTGGCATTTGCAAGCAGCCTTGGTGGGCAGAAAACTGGGGAAATGGATCGGCATCTCGGCTGGTGCCTCTGCTTCTGGCTCATTCCATGCTGCTGGCGTTCAGTGTCCCTGCAAGTGACAGCTTTATTTGTGCCACTGGCATCAAGAGGATGAGCCACGCGTCAGGCATGGGTGAAATGGCTGGTGCCCTTGTTCCCTTGCAGGAAATGCAGACACTATAAATTACTTCTTTCCTCTGGCTGCTGGGTGTCTGCAGGCCACTGTAGCTGTCAGGGTGATGTACACAGGACCAGCTAAAGTAACCAGCCTTTGTGTCAGCACTTGGGCACTGTCAACACCTCTGGAATGCACCAGCATGGAGCAAATGCAGGCTTTGTTGCCTATTCAGGTGTTCTTGATACTTTCCAAAGTGGGGACCCTGCTGCTGTGCTGAGTGATTTTGTGCAAAGACTCAGTGCCAGGTATCATGTGTGCAGTGGGCAGGGGGACATGGCATCAGGACTGACAGCAGTGGTGAGTGTCTGGGGCACTGCAAGTTGTCTGCTGAGACACATTGTGAAAATACACTCATGACCAGTTCGGACGTGCTGATGAGACAAATAGCTTCTGCTGGAGTGGAGAGAGATGCCTTTTTAGATCTTGTAGGTGGAACTATAAACGCTTGCATAAGCCAATTCACAGGAGCAATACAGATCAGGGTGACTCTTGTGTTTGCAACCCTTGTTGAAATCACATTGGCATGAGCACTCAGAGCAGGAGATACATGGTTTGCATTTTAATTAGCACTTGCCCTCCAAATAAAAATGCATCTTTAGAAC